GTGAGTGAGCGTGAATGAAAATTGTCCAATTTACCGACACTAGTATAAAAATCTATGCAAACTTTAACACAAAACTAATTCATACGAATAGTTTGCATGAGATTTCAAAACCAATAAAGTGTTGGAAAATTTTATAATCCATAGAAAAAAGTCATTTCAAAATTAATCGTTTGACTAATAAATTGTTGATCAAAATGAGTGCCAACGATAAGGACGTGAAATGTGCTGTAATTAATAATCAGGTGATTGATTGGGACGACATGAACAGAATATGGGGTGACCTATACCTGGGCGGTCAGCGGCCGGCCTACGAGCCCAAGACACTGAAAGGGGCCGACATTCGCACCGTATTAACGGTTATGGACTCTCCGATACCGGAACTACTGGAACACGAAGACATTGTCTATCACTTCATACACGCCATGGATCACTCATCGCAGGATCTGTTGACCCACTTCGGCGAGGCTTACGATATCATCGACGGCGCGGTCACTGCGGGCACCGGTGTATACGTTCACTGCGCGGCCGGCATATCCCGGTCGGCGACAATTGTCATCTCATATCTGATGCGAAAGCTCCGGATGACTGTCACCGCGGCGTTGGCTTTGGTCCGCAAATGGCGTTGGATTGTCGGCCCAAACGATGGTTTTATGAGACAATTGGATTTGTTTGAGGCGATGGACTGCCGACTGGTGGCCACCGATCGTCGCCTTCGACAATATATGCTGGAAATGTATGTCTCGTTTAATGGCGTCCAATTGGATCAATACTTTGAGCGCATGGCAGCCGTCGAGACCGGCACCGATGGGTTAGATTTGGGGCACCGGTATGTGTGCACCGGTTGTGGCGAAGGCCTGTTCAATGAGATACATGTGATCAGGAATGACGGCTCGGATCAATATAATGATCGGGAGGTTTGCGGCAAAGTATTTATAGAGCCTCAGCCCTGGATGTCGGAGCTGTTGCCAGAGGTGGAGGTCAGGGATTTGCCTGAAGAATTGTCCATTAAATGCCCTCAATGTCGGCGAGTGGTGGCCGAGTGCTGTACAATCTTCTCGCACTCCACACTACGGTTAGCGGCCTTTGACTGCGATTGTGGCCAACATATGGATGTGAAGGGCCTTATGGTCCGCATGACTGACAACGCGTTCAATAAATGCTCAAATGATTAAAATTGTTTGCAATTTATCTGTTTGTTTGATTAGTAAATGAGTGCTTTGGGTGGAATTATAAATTATTTGTTTTAAATTATGGTAAAAATTAATTATTATTGTCGTACAAATTATTTCAGAAAATTAACTTAATAAACGATTTTATGATATTTGAATTATTAAAATAATTATGTTTAATAAATATCAGTTAATTTTTATTAAATATGATTGACTTTTATACATTGATACATCATTAACAGATAAAAATTTTAACAAGTTCATTTATTATCATAAATTGTGTGATTGCGAGTCATATTAACAGTACATAATAAATGTATTGAAAATTTTATTTTTGATTAATATACAAATATTTAATACTGTATTAAAAAGCTATTCAACGTTTGAATTTCAAATCATTATAATCTCTATATTAGACTCAAATCCGTGACAAAACTAATGTGCAATTTATAAACTTTACAAACAATTTCAAACAAATTTTCCATACATTGAATACACTTATCATCAGATTTTACACACAAAAAAACGCCATCACATTACTGTATTAGCACTCATAGCAAACAGTCATTTAAATTTTAAAAAATTAAACAACTAGTTAACAAACCTGTTAACTGTTAACCCAACCAAACCAACCATAGGTCAACGACAGAGCAGCCGACGACGTGTATATCGGGGTCCGGACGTAGACATGGAGTACAAGTACGCCAAAATGGACCACATTTGGGGCACATTATATCTGGGCGCCTATGAGGCCACTGTTGACCGCCAAGAGCTACGCGACCGCAACATTACCACCATATTGACAGTGTTGGGCATTCAGGTGATGCCTGAGCACCGGCACCCGGACATCGCCTACCACTGGATCAACGCCGAAGACAGAGAGACTCAGGATTTGTTGACATATTTCCCGGAAACCTATGCTTTAATCGACGCCTGTATTGACGCCAAAGAGGGTGTTTTGGTCCACTGCGGCGCCGGTATCTCCCGGAGCACCACAATCGTGGCCTCGTATCTGATGCGCAAACTTCGCTCCCCATTCAAAGACACCATGACTTTGATTGAGTCCAAGAGGGGTATCATTCAACCCAACGAGGCTTTTATTGAGCAACTGATCCTTTACGAAGAGCTCGGCTATCGGCTGGTGGCCACCGATCGCCGTCTTCGCCAATATCTGCACCGATTGTATCTGAAGTACGATTTTAGTCAACTGAACCAATACTGGCAGAGACTAGAGGTGGTCGAGAAAGGAACCGATGGCTTCAATCTCGGGCAGCCGTATGTCTGCAGTGATTGCGGCCAAAAGTTGTTCAATGATATACATGTGCTCAAGAATGACGGCTCCGCTCAGTACCGAGATCTGGATGTTTGCGGCCGAGTATTCATTGAACCCCAGCCCTGGATGTCCGACCAGTTGGCGGTCTTTGATGAGACGGCACATGAGTTGGAGATTAAGTGTACTCATTGTCGACAAGTGGTGGCCAAATGTGGGACAATGGTCTCTAATTACAAACCATTGGTTATGACAATTAACTGCAATTGTTTGCATCATAAGGATGTGACGGGTCTTCAGCTAATGATGTTAGACAATAGGTTTATGTAATTTCATGTCATTTACTATCAATCAATGTGCAAAACTTTATTTAATTATTATAATATTTATTTGGGAACTATATTTATTTGATTAGAGTAATTTATAATAAATTTGTATTATCCTAAAGTGTTATTTAATTAAATTACATATACTGTATAATTTGAAATTAAAAATTAATTTAAAATAAATGTTTAAATAAATAAGCACAAGGTATTGGATTTTTAAAAATATTAATTAACAACCATTTTCCATTACATATTTATTAATGTACAGTGTAGATGTAGAATCTATAGTACATAATCATCATGTCATAATGTCTTTACCTATGCATTACTAATTAGGAACTTTATTTTACACTTCTATATTAATTATTAATTACTGTAATATAAATAAACTATTTTATGAATAAATATTACTTCTATGAGAAACAACATTGTGTGACAAATCTATGACAACTTTTTTTTATTCAAACACTTAAATTAATGGCTAAATATATTGAACGTGATGCACACGGTTTGGTAATCGAGGGGTTTGATGAAATGAGCTCGATCACTACGACCATGATGGACCAGATCTGGGGCACACTATATCTGGGCTCAATGGACGATGCATTGAATGTGGCGGCGCTTACTATGCATAATATTAAAACAATATTGACCATCATGAATTACCCCATATCTGATGACCAACGCCAGCCAAACATCACATACCATTGGATCAACGCTCAAGATGTAGGCAATTGGGATCTATTGACATACTTTCCCGAAGCCAATGATATCATCGACGGTGCGGTGACCGCCGGCAATAACGCCGGTATACTCGTGCACTGCGCGGCCGGTGTGTCGCGATCGGCCACTATTGTCATCGCATACCTCATGCAAACGCTTCAGCGGCCGTACGAAGAGGTCAGAGATTTGGTCCGCCGGCGACGGCCGGAGATATACCCAAACGAGGGGTTTGTCGATCAGTTAGAGCTGTTTGAGGCGATGGACTACTGTCTGGACGCCAACGATCGTCGGCTCAGACACTATCTGCTGAATACCTATGTAAGGGCTGTGGAGGACGGTTTGGATCAGTACTTCCAGCGCCTATCTGTGGCCGAGAAATTGACATTAGATATGTATTATGGGGTACCCTATGCTTGCATTAGTTGTGCCGCTGTGCTGTTCAACGAGATAAATGTGGTCAAGAATTATCAATATAATGGTCCGGATGTTTGCGGCCGAGTATTCATTGAACCCCAGCCCTGGATGTCTGACCAGTTGGCGGCGCCGTTCGATGAGACGGTACATGAGTTGGAGGTTAAATGTCCTCATTGTCGACAAGTGGTGGCCAAATGTGCGACAATGATCTCAAATTACAAACTATTAGTTAAGAATATTGATTGCAAATGTGGTCATCATAATGGTGTGAGGGGTCTTAAAATAATGATGTTAGGCATAATTTTAGACAATAAGTCTATGTCATCTTAGGAATTGAATGTATTGTTAATTATGAAAAACAATTATTTGTATGCTATTTGTTTATGATGTAAATTTATTTTTGATTAAGTTAATTTATAATAAATTTGATTTTTGATTAATAAGTCATTTTATTTTATTTAAAGCTTACTATTTATAAATTATACCATTTCACTAATTTCTTAAATTTCTAATGGAAAAACATTTAACATTTAAATATCAACTGATTTTTAAAGGTGATAAAACAAATGATAATGATAAGTTTCAAACTATATGTGATATGGTCAGATTTATCATTATGTTTCCATATTCACCCTATATAACGTTTAATTTAATATTAATGCACAAGTTATTTTCCAAAAATTTATCATTTAAAATTATAATCAACTGAAAAATCAACTATTGTCAATAACTTATTAATCAAATTAAAGTACAAATAATTTCCTTCAAAAAACAATTGAATATTAAAATACACATCAATTGAGTCAAACGCTATAGCATTCAATACCATTACTTACAACATTGAAAGTTAGTATAAGACAAGTGTGCTTAACATTAACATCACATTTGGTGTTCACCCAATTCACACCACACATCGTAAAACACGGTAAATATACTGTATTAATATTAATATTTTAAAATATACCACAATGGTTTAAATTAGATAATAATTAATTATCACCTAGATCAATGGGTAAACAAGGTATACAAAGTACCTTAAAGAAAGTGGACAAAGAACCTAAGATCCCAGACATGGACAAGATATGGGACACCTTATATTTAGGCGAAATGCACGGCGCGCTGGACGAAAAGCAGATACTCTGGTATAACATTAAGACAATCATAACTGTGATGGAGGAGCCCATAGAAGACCGGTACCATCACAAGGACGTCGCCTATCACTGGATCAAAGCCGACGATTACGAAGAAGAGGATCTGTTGACACACTTTCATGAGGCCTACGATATCATTGACGCAGCGGTGACGGCCAAGACGGGCGTTTTGGTGCACTGCAGGGCCGGCATATCCCGGTCGGCGACGATTGTCATCGCATACCTGATGCAAAAGCTCCAGAAGCCGTACAAAGAGGTCCGGGCGTTGGTTAGATCTCGCCGGGATTGCATTGAGCCCAACGACGGGTTTGTCGATCAGTTACTTCTGTTTGAGTCGATGGCCTACCGATTGGACGCCAATCACCACCCCTTCAGACACCTAATGTTAAGATCACTGGCGATGCCACCCGACAACCGGCTGAAGCTATACTACGAGCGTATGTCTGTGGCCGAGACGTTGACCGTAGACTTGAATTATGGCCCACAGTATGTGTGCACCGGTTGTAGCGAAGGGCTGTTCAATGAGTTACATGTCCTCAAGAATGACGGCTCAGACAAGTATAAAGATATGGAGGTTTGCGGCCGAGTATTCATTGAACCCCAGCGATGGATGGGTTGGACTAAAGTGACCGAAACGGTCATTAGATGCCAAACGTGTGGCCAACTGGTGGGACGGGTGGGCCCGACATATACCGATTGCCAATGCGGACACCATATGGATGCGGACTCGCCTCTTAAGGTGGAGATGACGGCAAACATGTTTAGAAAGTCTGAGTAAAAACCATTATTATTACTGTATATTAATTTTGATTATAAATTTAATAATATAACTAACAATAATCGTTGATTTATTATAAACTAATTTATTACAACTAAATTTAAACAACTAATACATATTGATTTTTGTATTGAAAATCTTAAACATATGTATTATTATTTCAAATAATTTATTTGGCATTAATTAAAGATGATATAAATTGAAACAGTTGTCCAAAAATGTCATTACAAGATATAACTCGAGAGGAATATCATAGCATCCATGAAAACCAGGACATGAACCACATCTGGGGTCGAGTGTATTTGGGTTCATACGAGGCCACACAAAATCTACCCGAACTCCAGAAACACAACATACGGACAATACTGACAGTAATGGACACAGAGATACCGGCGGCCAATAGACACCCGACAGTGAAATACCATTATATACCGGCGCACGACATCTGGTACCAGGACTTGATGACCACTTTTGACGAGACCTACGATATTATTGACACTGCGGTCACCTCCGAGACAGGCATTTTGGTGCACTCGGCGGCCGGCAAATCCCGATCGGCCGCTACTGTCATCTCATACCTGATGAAAAAGCTCGGGAAGCCATACGAAGAGGTCAGGGATTTGGTCGACCAAAAAAGGCCACACATTAATCCAAACGAGGGGTTTGTTGCACAGTTAGGGCTTTTTCTCGGTTTACTATGGTAATCAATTGCAACAATTATAGCCAAATTTAAAGATAATATGTTTACAGAAAATATTTCAATATTAATTAATAATAAATAAATTATATTTGCAATTAAGTTTCTTTCAAATAAATCTTTGCAATTAAATATTAGTTATAAATTTGTATACAATCAATATAATACCATGCTGATCTATACAATAGTAATATAAATAGAAATGCTACATTTCAAATGCATATCGATTGAATTACATACTAGTTTGCAATACTGTATTATACAATGTGTTTGCAATTCACATAACAAGTCTCATAGAGTCGATGCATTCAATTCATACCTAAGAATAATAAGCTTACAATGAATTCCTATTGAAAACTATTATTAAACGAGAATATTAAACATTACGTGTCATAAACAGAATATATTTTTACACATTCACGTTTGTGCTTTTAGTAAATGATTGAATTACATCTGGATCAATTTAGTCAAACTCAGCCATAAAAGTTGATATCATGGACCAGATATGGCATAACTTATACTTGGGTTCAATGAACGACGCGCTGGACTCCACACAACATATACGGTATAACATTAAGACAATAGTGACTGTTATGGACAAACCCATAGCCGACGGGTTTCACTGCAAAGACATCACATATCACTGGATCAACGCTAAAGACCACGACAATCAGGATCTGTTGACATACTTTCCGAACGCCTACGATATGATGGACGCGGCGGTGACCGCCGGCACCGGTGTTTTGGTTCACTGCAGGCGCGGTATATCCCGATCGGCAACGATTGTCATCTCATACCTCATGCAAAAGCTCCGGAAGCCATACGAAGAGATCCGGGAGTTGGTTGTGGCCAATCGGCCGGCAATTTATTCCTATTGAAAACTATTATTAAACGAGAATATTAAACATTACGTGTCATAAACAGAATATATTTTTACACATTCACGTTTGTGCTTTTAGTAAATGATTGAATTACATCTGGATCAATTTAGTCATACTCAGCCATAAGAGTGGATAGCATGGATCAGATATGGCATAACTTATACTTGGGTTCAATGAACGACGCGCTGGACTCCACACAACACATACGGTATAACATTAAGACAATAGTGACTGTTATGGACAAACCCATAGCCGACGGGTTTCACTGCAAAGACATCACATATCACTGGATCAACGCTAAAGACCACGAAAATCAAGATCTGTTGACATACTTTCCGATGGCCTACGATATGATCGACGCGGCGGTGACCGCCAGCACTGTTGTTTTGGTTCACTGCAGGCGCGGTATATCCCGATCGGCAACGATTGTCATCTCATACCTCATGCAAAAGCTCCGGAAGCCATACGAAGAGATCCGGGAGTTGGTTGTGGCCAATCGGCCGGCAATTTACCCCATCGACGGGTTTGTCGATCAGTTACGGCTGTTTGAGTCGATGGCGTACGGGTTGGACGCCAACGATCGCCGCTTTAGACAATATCTGCTGAAAACGTATGGAACGGCTCCGGAGGAATGTTTGAGCAAATATGTTAACATTTTTGACGCCATGGACGTGGCTGTGGTGGCCAGGAATAGCATTTTGGTCCATCTGGTGGACGGCATATCCCGATCAACCACTGCTATCATATCGTATTTGATGGCAACCCTCTGGAGGTCTTCGTACGAAGAAAAATCTCTGGTATCGGTTCTAGAAGACCGTCTAAATCAGTACTTCGAGCGCCTGTCGGTGGCCGAGAAGTTGACCCCAGACTTGGTTTATGGCCCGCAGTATGAGTGCATCGGTTGTGGCGAAGGGCTGTTTAATGAGATCCATGTGATCAGGAATGATGGCTCAGACAAGTATAAAGGTATGGATGTTTGCGGCCGAGTATTCATTGAACCCCAGCGATGGATGGGTTGGACTAAAGTGACCGAAACGGTCATTAGATGCCAGACCTGTGGCCAACTGGTGGGTCGGTTGGGCCCCATATATCCCGAGATTGAATGCAAATGTGGACACCATATGGATGTGAAGACACGGCTTACGATCCGAATGATTAATAACAAGTTTAAAAAAGTATCGCAAAATCAGTAATGTATTAATATTATTTGAATTATAATTAAAATGTTAACATAAATAAAAATAATTGCATTTAAAATACAATTTAATACTAGTTATAAGTGTATACTTTAGTTCATGAATATAACACTATGCTAAAAAGCGATAGTATTAGTAGTGTATATCAATTAAATTGCATAACAGTGTGTAATATAAATTTTTTTTACTATTCAGTAAAGGTACTACTGTATACCTGTATACCTGTACAATATAGCATACATTGTATACTGTACTACAGTATTACACAATGGGTTTGCAATTCACATAACAAGTCTCATAGAGTCGATGCATTCAATTCATACATAAGCTCACAATGAAACGCCATTGAAAACTATTAGAAAAACCACATTATCATTGTAAACATTATCATTACGTTTGCATTCATGCTATATATTTTTGCGTTGATTAAATTACGGCAAATGTTTGAATTTCAACTGGATCAATCTAGCCAAACTCAGCCATAGGGTCAACAGCATGGATAACATATGGGATACCGTATACGTGGGTTCATTGAACGGTGCGCTGGACTTCACACAACTTACGCGACATAACATTCAGACAATAGTGACTGTAATGACGAAACCAATACCCGACGGGTTTCACTACTCGGGCATCACATACCACTGGATCAACGCTCGAGACCATAAAGATCAGCATCTGTTGACATACTTTCCCAAAGCCTATGATATCATCGACGACGCGGTGACCGCCGGCACCGGTGTTTTGGTCCACTGCAAGGCCGGTATATCCCGATCGGCAACAATTGTCATCTCATACCTGATGCGAAAGCTCCAGAAGCCATACGAAGAAGTCCGGCAGTTTGTGGCCTCCCATCGGCCGACCATTAGCCCTAACGAGGGGTTTATCGATCAGTTACGGGTGTTTGAGTCGATGATTGCCAATTGTGAATACCATTGTACTCTTATCTCTAAACTATAACTTTACATAATTAAATTTAAAATTATTTTTAATTATTAAAAACATAAATATTATTATTTAAAATAAAAAATTAATATGAAAATACTACAGTTATAATATTTTAATCTAAATAACTTCTAAAATAAATCCACATATACTAATTTTTGTAATAACTTTTTTGCCCTAAATAATAGTTGAAAATTTCTATCGTAATTGTGATCCTATTATTAAATCCAATCTATTGATATGTCACATGACATGTATATCCGTAAAATATATAATTAAATGTCTGTAATATAAATGGCCACAACACCCGGGCCTGATGTCGTAGACACTTGTAGATTATATCAACAGAAATTTCACATCAAACCTCATAATATTTATACTAAAAAATATAAATTAAATATAATATTTTATTTGATAAATTATATTTCAAACATAATAATACGATGAAGGTCCATTGTAACTTTTATCTAAGGGAATGTATTTAATTGCTGCCTTAAAATGATGCCTTTGATGATTGGTTAGATTATTAGATGCTAGACATGTGGCCAACTGATGTGACGGGTGGGCCCGACATAGGGTGACTGCAAATGCGGACACCATATGGATGTGGACACCAAACTTGTTTAGTCTCAAGAGTCAGTAAAACTGTTATTATATTGTGATTAATGCCATAATTAATTATTATTAAATGTATAATTTATCACGAGCTTATTTTTATACGTTGTATTTAAACTTACTTTATAACTGTATAAACAAATTATATCAACAGTTTATTTGTGAATTGAAATCTCAAAATTGTGTACAATTATTGTCAAATTAAAGGTAATCTGAACTTAAATTGAATCAAACAGTGGTATAGTCATCAAAAACCAATGGCACAGATATTGTACGGCATCCCAGGCTATGAGGAGATGAACCAAATCTGGGGTACAGTGTATTTGGGTTCATATGAGGCCACAAAAAATCTACCCAAACTTCAAAAACACAACATACAGACAATACTGACAGTAATGCACACAGAGATATCGGCGGCCGATAGACACCCGACAGTGAAATACCATTATATACCGGCGCACGACTTGGAAACTCAGGACCTGTTGACCCGATTCCCGGAAGCCTTCGCCATCATAGACGCGGCCGTCACCGCAAAGACTGGCATTTTGGTGCACTGCGCGGCCGGCATATCCCGATCGGCCACTATTGTCATCTCATATCTGATGAAAAAGCTCGGGTTGACTGCGGCCGCGGCCCACGATTTGTGTCAAAGACAGCGTACGATAATCGGTCCCAACGATAGCTTTCTGGACCAACTGAACCTCTACGGGCAGATGGGATGCCGTCTGGACAGCAATCACCTGCCGTATCAGCAATACTTACTAAACCTCAATCAACCTAATTGACTGTCTCTGTCGTAACCATATGGACACCAATAATCTGGATATATCTAGTTTGTAGTTACAAATCTCATACAAAACAAATTGATATATCATTTTCATTGAATTGTAATTTATATGCAAAAGAAAACTTTTTTATTTGAAGTTAAATTCTAATAAACATTTTAAGTAATTAATTAAATCCATTAAATTCACTACTCGGGCATCACATACCACTATTTAGTCTCAGTAAAACCATTATTATATTGTGATTAGTACCATAATTAATAATTAATTATAAATGTATAATTTATCACGAGCATATTGTTATACGTTGAATTCAAAACTTATTTCATAACTGTATAAACAGTTTATTTGTGAATTGAAATCTCAAACTTGTGTACAATTATTGTCAAATTAAAGATAATCTAAACTTAAATTAAATTAAACAGTGGTATTGTCATCAAAAACCAATGTTTCAGACACTGCACGGCATCCCGGGCTATGAGGAGATGAACCAAATCTGGAGTACACTGTATTTGGGGTCATACGAGGCCACACAAAATCTACCCGAACTCCAGAAACACAACATACGGACAATACTGACAGTAATGCACACAGAGATACCGGCGGATAAAAGACACCCGACAGTGAAATACCATTATATACCGGCGCACGACATCGAAAGCCAGGACCTGTTGACCCGATTCCCGGAGGCGTACGCTATCATCGACGCGGCCGTCACCGCGAAGACAGGCATTTTGGTGCACTGCGCGGCCGGCATATCCCGATCGGCCACTACTGTCATCTCATACCTGATGAAAAAGCTCGGCAAGACTGCGACCGCAGCCCACGATTTATGTCAAAGAAAGCGTACGATAATCGGTCCCAACGATAGCTTTCTGATCCAACTGCGGCTCTACGAGAAGATGGGCTGCCGTCTGGACGCCAATCACCTGCCGTTTCGGCAATACTTATTCAACATTTGTGACCACTTTGACAATTACGCCCAATTCTTCGAGAGGTTGGCTGTGGCCGAGCGGTCCACCAGTTATCTCAATCTGGGCCAGAAGTTCGGGTGCGTTGGCTGCGGTCAGGAACTGTTCCGTGAGCTACATGTGCTCCATAATGACGGCTCCCAGAGGTATCAGGAGCTGCCCGAGTGCGGCAAAGTCTTCGTGGAGCCCCAGCGTTGGATGTCCGGCCAGTTCGCCGCCTATGATCGGGCCCTCAGTGTTGTGGTAATCAAGTGTCCAAAGTGTGACCGACCGGTGGCCAAGTTTTATACGCCCACCGGAACCGAAGTCACCCCAATTGGTTGTCTCTGTCGTAACCATTTGGACACCAAGAATCTGGACATACAGATGTTGCCGGACGCCTACAAACTACTGTCGTAATAATACACACGGTTTTTGGTTGTGTTATTTTTTGTGGTTACAAATCTCATACAAAACAAATTGATATATGATTTTCATTGAGTTGTAATTTATATGCAAAATAAAACTTTTAATTTGAAGTTAAAATCTAATAAAACATTTTATTAATTAAATCTATTTAATTAACTGATGGTAAATCGCGGGACAATTTAAACCACGATTCAATTGTTAACACTTATTGAGAGCAACAATGCAACGAATTTTTGCCGATATTTACCGTTTTAGTCGTTGCGGACATCACTCGCGGACACAGAGACTGAGCCGATCAGTGACCACAACAACAACACCATCAGCAGCCATGAGATCATCATCTGAAGACATGCATCAGATCCACGGCCGGCTATATCTGGGCAACATCGCGGCCGCCCGTAACCATCAGGAGCTCCGGCAGCGAAACATCGGCACAGTATTGACAGTAATGCAAAGCCGTATACCCGACGACGACCGGCACCACCGACTCGACTACCATTGGATCGACGCCGAAGACCGGCCCGAAGAGGACCTGTTGACAGAGTTCCCCAAAGCGTTCGACATCATTGACCAGTCACTGAAGTCGGGCGCCGGTATTCTCGTCCACTGTAAGGCCGGTGTGAGCAGATCCGCGACGATTGTCATCAGTTATCTGATGCGCGCTCAGCGCAAGACATACAAAGACGCCATGGATTTGGTTCAGTCCAAGCGTGACATCGTTGGCCCGAACCATGGCTTTCGGGATCAGCTCCGGCTGTACGAGTGGATGGGCTGTCGACTGAACGCCAACGACCGCCGCTTTCGACACTATCTGCTCCAGACTTGCGTCTGGTATTACTTCTGTTCCCTTCGCGAGTACTTTGAGCTCTTGTCCGGAGCCGAGAAAGTGGTCGGCGATGAGTTGGCCACCGGTCAGCGGTACCAGTGCTCCGGTCGCGGCTGCTCTCAACCGCTCTTCGCCGATATCAATGTGATCCGCAACGACAGCACCGCCGACAAAGTCTGTGGCCGTGTGTTTGTGGAGCCCCGGCCGTGGATGCGAGAGTTGTCCGCACCCACCGATCCCGACGCGTCCGAAGTGGCCATCAAGTGTCCCAACTGTGCCCGAGTGGTGGCCAAAGTGATCACCCGTCGGACGCCCCTCCGGTGCAAGTGTGCCGACCATAAGGGCTCGCATTGGCTGAAGATCCAGATGTTGGACCAGTCGTTCAAAAAGTCATCGACGATAGCAAACAATGCAAACAGAAGTTAAAAAAAGTCAAGTCTTGAGAGAAAATTGTTGATTAAATTTGTTGTCTAAACGATAATTATTGTTAGCTTTTCATTGAATGTGAGATTTGTTTTTTGTGTGCAATTTGTTTATCGCTTAGAAAATTATGCAATAAAATAATGTGTATTGAAATTAAATGGCAAAATAGATTTTATCAAGTTTATTTACAAAACATTTTAGATGGTTATCATGGCTATCAATTATGAGCTTATTAGGCGCACTCATACATGTATGTAGGTGCGAATAGATAGGGTTTACAGTACAAAGTTTTTGATGGTAAGTTTTGGACCATACTTTATGTTAATCTCAAATGCAAAACAATGACAATCACAGGTGTGTGGCTATAATACACTGTAGCTATTAATACAGGTATATTCCACATTAACATGCCATACTGTATGAGCAAGGTCATTAACACTTTCCATATGCAGTAAGGTGTGGTAAAATGCACACAACTATTTGCAATTCATCGCAACCAAACAAATAAAAACCACCACGGTGATGATGATGGACGGGATGCAAATCAGCCACAATCCTCACCACCGGGACATCGATAAGATAGATGAGTGGCTATACCTGGGCAACCAGTACGGGGCGACCAACGCCCAGACACTGTCCGCACTGCACATCACTGACATACTGACCGTCATGTCGGCGCCCATAGACGCCGCGCAGCGAATCGCTGGCATCCGTTACCATCACATCGCCGCCGAAGACAACTCATCGCAGGACCTGTTGAGCCATTTTAACCGCGCGTACGACACCATCGAGGGATGTCGTCGACTCGGCTGCTCGATACTAGTCCACTGCCGAGTGGGCGTCTCCCGCAGCGCCACCATTATTATCGGCTATATTATGCGCAAACGACGACAACCCCTATACTTAGCCCTCGAGTGGGTTAAGACCCGTCGGCCGATAATACACCCGAACCGGGAGTTCAAGTCACAGCTGCGGCTCTTTGAACGCATGGGTTATCGGCTGAACGCCAACAATAGGCAGTTCCGGGAGCTGTTGCTCCGGGTGTACGCCAATCGGCAGCGATTGGACGAGTACTTCGAGCGCCGGGCGATTGTCGAGAGCCAGACCCCGGATCTGGCGTACGGCCAACAGTTGGTCTGTAAAGACTGTGGGTTTGCGCTCTTCTCGCAGATCCATATCCATAGGGATTACGAAGAGATTCATTCGAGGAGTGAGTCGTCGTCCAGCGGTGAGGCGTCGACGGCCGCACCGGTGGCCGGAAAGATGGGTAACGATAGTAAGTGTCAGCGCATATACATCGAGCCCCAGGAGTGGATGGCGTGGGAGTTGTCTCAATGTCAACACTCGTATGGTATGGTTAAGTGCCGGTGCGATGCGTTGGTCGCCGAGTACGATGTGTGGACCCCCGGAGCCCTCGCGACACCCGACCGATTGCCGGCCACTCCTCAACGCCACCATTGCTTTAAGATCCGTGTCTTAGACAAGAGTTTTAAGTTTGAAAATAACTCGATATTTATTTTTGATACCAATAATAATAGTCGTTTTAATTTTCGATAAAATATTTATTATTTTGATTTATGATAATCTAATTGTAATATGAATTATAATAAATATTTTTTGTTGTTGATTAATTGACTAAAAGTTTTAGTTTATTATTTTGTTTTTTTGCTCAAATAGTTTAAGTCATATAACGTGTGTTGTCTTAAAAAGTAAAATACACCATGGACCATTTTTGAAGTGAATTAACTTATTTATGATTTAATAATATGTGCAGTGATTTATATCATGGTGAATGTCATCCGAATATCACATGTTATTTATTGAAATTTTTATTGTTTTGACAAAACAATCTTACACATTAATTACAATTTTATATTCAAAAATTATATGCAATTAATAAACAACATTAGAGTTACAATTACATTAGAGTTAGATCTTAAGACTATTTGTTTTGTTTTATGTTTTGCTAATGTAATAAATGTCTTATTAATTACCTGTTAAATCATTATTAACTAATATTTATATCTATTATAGTATTAGTTTTAAACAACAATTTTATGATCTGTTGTATTGAACGGACAGTTGTTTCCTGTATACAAAATGCCATACAATTTATATTAAGGTTATTATTTCAATGATTTAACTGTCGATCAGTGGTTAAACACAAATCAAATACAAATTATTATTACTATTAATCACATAAATAATTGACACAAATATCGGTTTTACGAGTAATTACTTTGGGATTTATTGAAGTATTTGACTGTTATTTTGAATGTGAACTCAATTTCATAATCAATATATTGTTTGTTTGTGGAAAATATTGTACTGAAGTATTAATGAAATAAGTATTATACAAAACTAGTTAAACAAAAAATTAAAAATAAATAAATAAATTTATACGAAATTTAACTTTTAAAACAAATTATTTTTATTTTATTATTCATTTTAATAATAACTCAATTAAATATTGGCATAATATATCAGCGATTATTTTAACTTAAAATATGCAATACATTCAAAATATATGGAAAATAATGACTGAATTATTGAATACATAATCCATAACTGAAAGAGAGAGAGAGAGAGAGAGAGAGAGAGAGAGAGATTTTAATTTTTAAAAAATAAATAATATATAATTGAAGAGAAGATTGAAATAATAAATAAATACGACAAATAATATTACGGATATATAAAAAATCTTTAGGATTATTGTTATGTTTGTCTCAATCTTTATTTGGCAATCGAAAGGACAGACGGTTTTTGCATAATATTGTCGCTTAAAATGACCAGAAAGCGAGAGAGAGAGAGAGAGAGAGAGAGAGAGACTACCCTTTAAATGTGTCTTAAAAAGCATTAATAGTTTTTGTATTTATATAACTCATTACTGGGTTTAAAAACTCAAAATAATAGCAAAACAAAGAAGTTTTGAATTAACAACTCGTGAACACCAGAGCCGGGAAGAGAGAGAGAGAGAGAGAGAGAGAGAGAGAGAGAGACTCAGCGATGAAAAAACTTTATTACATAACAAAACAATAAAATAACTTTAAAATAATAATAATAACCAAAAGGGAAGAGAGATTAGGAGTGAAGTAATGGGAAGAGAAATAATCATATTTAAGCACTTTTTTCAACGCATTGCTATAAAACAAAACAAACAAAATAATAATAATAATAATGAAAATTGTTTATTATTCTTCATCCTATCCCTCAGTCTTTTGTGATGTGTTTTTCAGATATATTTCTACAATAAATTTACGGCCAAAACAACAAAACAACACAAATTTCTTTTACCCCATAATATAATCGATTGGATATATAAAGGCTTTCATATATCCCAACGATATTCCTGTTCCGAGTGTTTCAAATGTTTGCCGTATTTGTTAAGTAAAGGCAACACTTTTCGCATTGTTTAGCATTTATTTAAAGCATTAAATATAATAACAGGAAAGAGACAATAGATTTGTGTGTATATTAAAAGTGTATAATAAATATATTATTATTATTATTATAAGTTTGTCTCTCAATTCATATTTGTCGTAAATTCCTATAATTATTACCCTATTGTATATTTTTTATATATCCGTAATATTATTTGTCGTATTTATTTATTATTTCAATCTTCTCTTCAATTATATATTATTTATTTTTTAAAAATTAAAATCTCTCTCTCTCTCTCTCTCTCTCTCTCTCTCTCTCTCTCTAACATTAAGACATAAATAATACAAAAAGTGGATTTCATTTGGGAGTAAAACACATCTCATAATAGCTGTTATGTCAGGAGATAAAAGTTTAAAACCTTATTTCACGTCAAGTCATTGTATTGACTCAAATGTTTATTTAAAACCCAAGTGTTGTCTTAAAAAAGAGAGGATTTCTTGACTTTTCCGCTGACTTTCTCTCATCCTCTCGACTCTCATTGAGAAAATATTTATAATGTATTTATTATTTACTATTTGTATAGAAAAATAATGGGAAAATATATTTATATATAGAAAATCCTTTTTGACAGAGATTTTCGCTGTCAATGTCAATGGCATTGCCTTTTATGAGAGACACAGAGAGTTATATAAACCAAAATAATAATACATTTCTCTCAACAATTGTTTGCTATAATCGCTTAAAGAATTTATATTTTATTTATTATTATTATTCATACGTTATATAAGGACTACTTTTTATGCATGAAAAAATGAGAGAGAGAGAGAGAGAGAGAGAGAGAGAGAGAGAGAGAAATGTGACTTAACATGACTTAACCCAACATTTATTACAATTATATTATTGTAGTTATTATTTATTTATTTTGTTTATAATATACGGCACCGGAGAGGGAGAGCGAAAATAAAATAAAAGTTTATATACAAAAAATTTGCTTTTCACTTAAAACACACTACAGTTTAATATAATATCCATTAACCGTAAACATAATGGGAAAGTGCGGTACAAAATACACCCTTCACGGGGTGTGTCGGCCAACAAACATATAGTATATCCAAAAATATACATATTTTGTATATTTAATAACAATAATAATAACAACACTGTATATGGAAAATAAAAGCCTAATCTCTACGTCTATTCTTCAGTAACTATTTTTTGTGTCAATTGAAATATTTTTGTGAAAACATTTATGTGAAAAAAGTGGGAATTAGGGCCACAACTACAATATACAACACCAGACATACAGTGAATATACAGTACATATACACTACGGGACGGGTCATACACTTCCCGAGAATACAAATTGCATTTTTGCATACTTTATAATAGATTGTAATACCGGTGTCCCCGCTATCTATGCCTACGTGAGTGAAATATGTTTGGCGTGTAAACTAATACCCGGGCCATTGTTTGGGTTCGCTTTGGTTTTAAGTTACAAAACCATAATATAATGTTTTTGTTGAGTCGATTGTGTGTCCGGACTAAGGATGGGGGCAATAATACATATGTATAATACATGTGTATTATTCCATGTATTATTCATGTATTATACATGGCAAAATTTGCCATACATACAACATGGCGTCAAATATAGACATTATTTGCTAAAAATCGACAAAATTTGCCAAAACATGTTATTTTATAAATTTATTTTTAGATTATAAAAAAGTAAATTATTGTTTTAAGGAATAATGATGCAAAAGAAATTATATCTACGAAAATATCTATTCTTTTAGTATAGAGATAAGATTATAGGTTAACATTGCCTATAGGTTAGCATTAGCTTTTATTCTTAAGCATTGTATGTAATAATACACGAATAATACATCATATACATGTAATAATGCATGAATAATACATGGCAAAAATTTTTTCATGTATTATCCCATCCCTAGTCCGGACTGAACTCAACGGATAAAGAGACCTCTAATTTATAAAATTTCTCTCAAATACACTACAATTGCCAACAACTGAGAGAGAGAGAGAGAGAATGTAGAGTATAGTGTATAGGGTTGTAGTGATGGTAGCTATGGTTGAAATGGATGGGCGCTAGCATTGGACTCAAGCAAATTCCAAGTCATCAATCAGTGCTGTCAATGGCAAAAGCAAAGCAAAGTTTGGTGTAGTTTGTTGTGTGCATTCAAAGCTGTACTTCACTATTGTGGAGCACTTGCGCCATAGCTATAACACAAGGCATAACACAGGCACAGCTCTGGTACAGCTCTGGCACATCTCATGATTTATAATCCTAGATTGATTGCAAAACACAATATTTCGTGATACGAGGCACAGGCAACGCAAGCGAACACCAAAAATATAACCAAAGCCTAACATCAATGTTACGATAATATAGAAGAGCATAACAGCGAATGCATATTATCTCATATATAGTGGCATTTGATTTGATTTCTCATTTCTATTGTAAAAGAGTATACAATTGAATGAATGATATAAATAACTATTGTATACCTCAAACCTCATCAGATAAACATCATTAATACCATTAATAGCAATACTCGCATACAATCCTACATTCAAACAATTCAACAAAAATAACATTGTTTATAAGATTCTACACTCGAATACAATGCCTGCCACACAACTAGACATTTATTTAAAACCCATTTAAACAGTGTTTTTCACATACAAACAGGTAATGTAATAATATGTGTTGTGAATGAAGATCTGATATTTGCCATTGAAAGCAATTGGGGGTCAACTGTACGGCACATCATATTGTAATCAACAAAATTTATAGTCGAGTTGAATGAAAATGTGTTGCAATCATATTATTATAATGTTATGTGTTTAGCGGTTATACACTGTTCTCATATACAGTAGAGTACTATACTATTGGCTTAAATGGCTGTAAATAGGGATCATTTAGTTGAACGGTAAGCGCCAACAGATCATATCTAATCATTAAAGAATTAAAACGACTCAATAAAATGCTAGATAACTGACCCTTAAATCAAGACAATAACACTTGATTTACATTGAATTGATTGAGTTGTGATGTTTTGCAAAAGTGTTACAATTCATTAATTCTATCATCAATTATATCTTCAAATACAATGTGATGTCTCTCCAGAAGAAAATGCATTTATTTTTATTGT